GAGCAACTTCCTGACCTATAGCAGAAAGAAAGAATTACTTCTTCTGCCTCATTTTCTACTCCCTCGTCTACATGTATCGCCACACTTCACACGTAATGACTCAGTCCAGCAGTAGCGGCTATGTGTAATGTTTTACATCAAATTACCGCTGTATGACAGGAAAACAGTCACAGCACCATTTCCAGGATCGTTATCATTACTGACAACGTGGTCTATTCACAGCAAAGAGATCACCTGGCCGTATATGTGTACGCACATTATTATGACCAGGTTCATTTGCTCCTATTGGATGAAATAAACGCCTTGATTCATCCAAACATTCAGAGAAACATACATATGAAACGACTTAATTTGGGGCTTATTTGACTGCAATATTCTGTAATATCAGTACGGCAACTGATACCATGATACCGATTAACACACAATATATCGCAGAGCCCTAATGTGTGTACACACTCAAAAAAGACGGTTTCCAAGGGTTCTTTAGTGAAGACAACGGTTCTGTGTAGAACCATGAACACTCAAAGAACCGTTTGCATGCTTAAATGGCTCTTTGCAAGGTGAAAGCGTTCTTCAGATTGATGGAGAACGTGTTCTCTATGGTTCAACACAGCACCAAAAAAGTGTTCCTTTATTGTTATGATGTCAAGCTTGTGATAAGAGAAGAACCCCTTTGGTGCTATACAGAACCATTTTCAAAAAGTTTCTATATAGAACCATATACGATACATTCTCTATTAATCAGAAGAACCATTTCATGATGCAAGCAGAGCATGAGTGTTCATGGTTCTATACAGAACCATTGTCATTACTAAAGAACTCAAAAAGAACTATCTTTTCTTAAGAGTGGATATAAAACCATTTCATGCTTAAGTGGTTCTTTGCAGGGTGAAATGGTTCTTCAGATTGATAGGGAATGTGCTGTCTGTGGTTCTATTGTGCACCAAAAAGGGTTCTGCTATTGTTATGGTGCCAAGCTTGCAACAATGAAAGGATCCGTTTTGGTGCTACATAGAACCATTTTCAAATAGGTTCTATATAAAACCATACATAACACACCCTCTATTAATCAGAAGAACCATTTCATGATGCAAGCACTGTCCTTACAATTAAAGGATCCTTTTTGGTGCTATATAGAACCATTTTCAAAAACACTGTATATAGAAGTCATGGTTCTAAATAGAACTATTGCCTTTACTAAAGAAAGTCAGCAGCCCAAAAAAAATCTATTTAAAGGATCTTTTGCATTATGAAGGAAAATGGTTCTATATAGAACCATGAAAGCTCTATGAACCATGAACATTAACGCAGTGCATTTTGGGTATCCCCTATTCTCTAGGGTACAAACTACACTACACAGATTGGTTCTTCAAGGGTACTTGAGTAAAGAAAAGTTGAAGACTCAAAGAACCATTTGCATGATTACAGTGTTCTTTGCATCACGAAGGAAAATGGTTCTACATAGAATCATGAACCTATTCTCTAGGGAACAAACTACACTACAAAGATGGATCTTCAAGGGTTCTTAAGTAAAGTTGGACACTCAATGAACCCTTTGCATGATTAAAGGGTTCTTTACATCATGAAGGAAAATGGTTGTATATAGACCCACAAACCTAGGGTACAAACTACAGTACAAAGATGGTTCTTCAAGGGTTCTTAAGTAAATTTAAACACTCAAAGAACCATTGGCATGAATGAAGCGTTCTTCGCATCGTGAAGGAAAATAGTTCTATATAGAACCATGAACCTATTCTCTAGGGTACAAACTACACTGCAAAGATGGTTCTTCAAGGGTTCTTAAGTAAAATTGAACCCTCAAAGAACCATTTTCATGATTAAAAGGTTCTTTGCATCATGAAAGCGTTCTTCAGATTGATGGAAAATGTGCGGTAGACGGTTTTATGTATAGAACCTTTTTGAAAAGGGTTCTAAACAGCACCAAAAAGGGTTCTTCTATTGTTACCATGTCAAGCCTTTTTGGTGAAAATGAAACACATTCTCCATCAATCTGAAGAACGCTTTCATGATGCAAAGAACCCTTAAATCATGCAAATGGTTCTTTGAGTGTTTGTGGTTCTACATAGAACCATTTTCCTTACTAAAGAACCCTTGAATAACCATCTTTTTTAGGTTGAAGCTGAACGCTGAAGAGTGCATTAAAACACAGCTGCTTTATGATAACTGAAATATTATTAACACTGAACACTGTAGAAAAGCTGTAGTCCAGGTTTCCTCTGTTTAAGTGCTGTAACTGAAAATGAAACGTTTTTATGGTTAAACTTTTAGTCCTCAGATTAATGAAGCGTTACTCAGAGTTTCAAACGACCGCAAGACGTCCCGCGACTTTTCACCAAAGAACAGCCGAGAGCACAGACTCAGGGCTGATCAAGTTCTCAGGGTGGTCTGACTCTGCAAAGCGAGAGACAAAACAGAAAGAGCTCCACTTTTCACCTAATCTTAGTGACAACCGACAGTGTGGGTGGAATCGCGCACCCCCGTAATGATGAAACAGCAGCGTGGTCGATGCTAGTGAGATCAGTGATAACAATCCTCACAATCAGCATTCAGGGTGAGAATGCAGTAGCGCTAGCACAGCCTGCTGAGCTGGTTAGACTGGTCACTAGTACAGCAGCAAACCAGTTTAAGGCCTGGACTTCCAAGTGGCTGCTTCTTTTATCCAGATTAGTCAAAGTCAAGACGTCTGAATCTTCAAACTCAACAATGCAGTGCATTGCAGGTGCCCTATTCCCCACAAACTACTCTTAGGTAAAGTCGAACACCCAAAGAACCCTTTGCATGATTAAATGGTTCTTTGCATCACGAAAGGGTTCAGATTGATGTTGTACGTCGCTGTTGTCGGAAGAAAATCTCGTATCTCAGAAATGGTAACTTTACAGGAGAAGGAAAAAAACCTACTTCGCTTTTAATGTAAGTCAATGGAACCGGAATTTTTTTCGAGCCATTTTAGGCCATTTCTTTTTGGTCCGTTCTTCATTAAAATTACACACCATGTAAAGGGGCCTTTTCAAATGATGTCAAAAACTGAAAAAACGATAAAAATGGAGATACAAGGTTTTCTTCCGACAACAGCGATATGGTTCTACATAGAACATTTTCAAAAAAGGTTCTATATAGCACCAAAAAGTGTTCTTCTGTTATGACAACGTCATGCGTGTGACAAAAGAAGAACCCTTTTTGGTGCTGTATAGACCCATATACAACACATTCTCCATCAATCTGAAGAACGCTTTCATGATGATCCAAGAACCCTTTAATCATGCAATTGGTTCTTTGAGTCCTCATGGTCCTCTACAGAACCATTCTCTTTACTAACGAACCCTTGAAGAACCATCTTTTTTAAGAGTGTACTTATTGTGCTGCATTGTGGAACTGTTTGAGTGCACCGGATCTTCTGCATTATGTTTTCGGACACCGCTACAAAAAGGGTGGAACCCCAAAATAGTGCACTATATGGTAATTCTCGCATCTCTGGCAGGAAACTTTTCCACAAAAGTAGAACAGTTTCTCGTAAAATGTCTCTCGATGTTCGTCTTTTTACGAGGCTGAAGTCGTTTCTCATTCCCTGGCTTCTCATTCGAATTTACTTGTTCCACCCGAAATGGTACCTGAGACGGCAGAATGTAACTGCTGCACCATTTAAGGTGGAACAGAAGAATTCAAACACAAGGCTGACTTCAGCTTCGCGACTTTTTAGTGTTTGTCAGTTTCTCGTTGCAGATTAAACGTATCAGGAAACCAGCTGGAGTGATTATAAATGCAAATAAGTCAGTTCGTCTTCAAATTATCAATGTTCGTCTTAAATCTCTCTCTTTGCCTTTTCATTAGCTATTAACTAGGCGAGATTATTGTCTGCGTTGCTATGGTGACCAGCAGTCTGCGCTGATCTTCAGAGTTAAAGGGTGAATTAGCAGTTCTACATTAACTCCAGAGTTTAAGACCATTTATTGTTAAACTGTGTTGAACGATCAGCAGAGCTTTATTTTACTGTAAAGGAGGATTATTTTATTTTTACCTAAATATCTAATTCGGCACGGTGGCGCAGTGGGTAGCGCTGTCGCCTCACAGCAAGAATGGCCTGGGTTTGATTCCCGGCCGGGTGACCAGGGTCATTTCTGTGTGGAGTCTGCATGTTCTCCCCGTGTCTGCGTGGGTTTCCTCCCCGTGACTCCGGTTTCCTCCCACAGTCCAAAGACATGCAGTCAGGCCAATTGGACATGCTAAATTGCCCCTAGGCGTGACTGTGTATGTCTGTCTGTCTGTCTGTCTGCCCTGTGATGGACTGGCGACCTGTCCAGGGTGTATCCTGCCTTCCACCCAATGACAGCTGGGATAGGCTCCAGCACCCCACCGCGACCCAGTAGGATAAGTGGTTTAGATGATGTGTGTGTATCTAATTCTGCTGTGGAGCCGCAAAAGGACAGGAAAAGAGCCGCATGCAGAAATGACACCCTGCTTGGAATAGTGTAGTGGGTAACACTGCAGCTCTTTATGTGTCAGACACACCACACTATACTAATACATAATAAGAGTCCCAGGGCAAGACTCCCAAAGCTACCTCTGTAAGATTAGAAGACTGAGAGTGTCTTTAAATGTGCAAATGTAAAATCTATACTGGTTCACACCAAGTGATGTAGCTCCTGGAGGAAAGTTAACACAATTTTTTTATTCCTTAAAAACTTTATTTTTCAAACTGGGGAGCCGTTTTTTACAGGTACTGTGCATTTTCCTGCTTTGTCTGCACCCCAACAGATCATCGAAGCTACACACACAGTCTAACTCACATCGAATCAGCGATCGTCGCAAACCAGCCAACATCACACCATGAGGCTCGACTGCCCGAAGTACCGAAGCATCACATTAGCATAGGTGAGGGCTACTTCCTGTTAGCCAGGTCTTAACATCTTTACCAGACCTTCCACCACGAGCGGCGTAAGAAGTGTCATTCTAAAAGACAAAAATCCGCAAAGTTGACTTACCATGTTCACAGGCCCTGTGCACACGTTTCGCCGACGAAGCGTATCTGTGTGTTTTCTCAGCAGTTTTCTCTGAATCTCTCTCTCTCTCACTCTCTCACTGCCCCCTCTCTCTATCTGTCTCTCTCTCTTCTCTTCCGGCTCTCTCATGCTGCCACAGCTTCCTGTTTCTTTAATTTACTGCTCCTACAGATGCTAAGAAACATATTTGCAATTCGTTAAAGATTACGCATAATTCACACCAGAGTTTCTCAACCCTGGCCCACTTTTTAGTGCTCCCAACACACGATCCAACAAATCAGCTCATCAACAGCCCATTATTAAGTTAAAGTGGCTGTGCTAAAGCAGGAAAAGGGCCTCCAGGACGGCTGACTTACATCATATTATTACAAACTGCATTCCTGAAACTGATTCAACCTGGCACTAAGAATCGCCCTCATGAAGTCCTGTTAGATTTTCACATTTCCAGTATGTTTAAGCAGCTTTCACACACTATATATCCGAAAGTATCCAGACCGCCTTTCTGTCTGGTGCACATGTGTCAAGCTCCAGGTCCTGGCAGGCAATTTCAGCACACTACCTCATTAAACACACCTGATTTAGCTCATCAGCCATTTAGCAAGGCTTTCATGAACTGAATCCAGAGCGTTAGATGAGGGTAGACGTTAATCTCCGGAGCACTTTGGCCCGGAGGGTCCCCAGTTTGACATGCCTTCGACATGCTTTAGTGAATTCAGCCACTGTAAGGTCACCCACTGCTGACAAAAGCATTCAATTGCACACAGTTTGTATAATCTCCATAGAGAAGAATTGGTCAATAGAATTGGAGGCTCTAGAGCACCAGCACATGAGCCTAAGGTCTACAAGGATATAAAGCCCCCCAACATTGGGCTGCGGGGCAGTGGAACTATGTTCTCTGCAGTGATGGAGCTCCATCCAATACCTCTGGGATCAGTTGGAGTGATTCAGAACTGACCATCCCACTTCAGTACCTGACCTCAGCTTTCACGTCCGTATGTATATACGCTTTAGTGCAAGTCTCGACATCCAAAAACCTTATATTATATAACATGATGCTAGCATATATGAGTAATGTATGTTATTCACATGAGTGTTTTCTGTCATATACTGTTAAACATAAGTGTAACACATATATGTTTGTATATGTTGATACAAGGCTGAAATATACGTGTATAACATATATAATTTCAAATAAGTTTGCATATACGTGACATTTATGTCCATATATGACAAATATGCATTGGATATATGGCACACACATATATATCGCTGTTGTCGGAAAAAAACTTGTAACAATAATGGAACCTTTTTTGGTAACACAATCATTTGCAAAGATCAAATGGTCCTTTGAGTTCTCATGGTTCTACTAACCATGCCTTTTACTAAAGAACCCCTGGAACTACAAAGCTGAAGTGCCTAACAAGCAAGGGAAACTTGTTAGCATGACGCTAACATGCCTTAAACCATGTCCAGCTTGAAATCCAAACATAATTGACCTTTTTTTTAATTTGTAAGTACATGACTCTGGTTATATTAAGCATTATTCATCATATATCATAGTGTAATGACTTTATTCACGCATTTATTCACGCCCACGTATCACAGAGCTCAGAGACCCTCCCCAGTACCACGTTTCACTCATACATACATCACAGTAAGGCTGAAAAATGTGTTCTAATTTCCCATTCATGTAGACTGTAAAGGGAAATTCCATCGATTTTTCAAAATTCAAAAGACATAAACATTGCAATTCAGAGAGGTTTGGTGTGAAATGCTCCACTCTAAAGAAACTTTCTGAGACAGAAATCTGTAATCACACTGGTGGTGATAGGAACCAGGTGTCCACCTCTACAAGCTCCCTCTCAGAAAGTGAATACTGTGGCGTCTCAGCGTAGAAGAACCACGGCCATGACTTCTGCTCGGAAAATGCTCTTTTTTCAAGGCAGAGAAAGCCAATATCAACCAGACTGTACAGCAGAAGGGCACCTCTAGCCTTATAGCCCTACACTTTCTGTTCAGAGTGACCTCTTTCCACACACCAATCTCACTGCACACAATCATAATAAAACATAATAACATAAACTCATCTTAACTCAATAAAGAACAATAACAACAAATGTTTTGAGAAATTTTGGTCTAAAACGCCTTTTGTTTTAGTCCATTCATGGCGGAGAGGTACATGGTGGAGGGTGTTTCAGGACAAAATAAAAAAAAAAAACCTTTCCAGATTTTCCACTATTTTACCATCACCAACATTCCATATAAACACTCAGAAGACCCGTGTAGGTTCACTGGTGGTTCTGGAAGGTAAATTAAATGTCGATATGTGTGTTGTAGTGATGGTGACCCCTGGTTCCTATCACCACCACTGTAAAGACATCTGAATCTCTTACAATCAACCAACCATTTCAAACCAAACCACTCTGAACGACTTTCTCAACAACTGAATTATCTCACACAGATTTGCTTGTGATAGAAAATGTGAGACAATTTGTCTTGGCTGATCAACTACATTTGGGTCACAGGGAAAATTGGAAAAATGTATTGATGGTACGTCAGCGTGAAAAATCATTTAATTCCTGTACATGCATGTAACTTGTGAGGCACAGCCAGGACTCACACCTGGATCCCAGCTGTAGGACCCACAATGCGAGCTTGCCCTTGTTTATGATTGGTGCACTTGCATGATTATTACTGTGTGTGTGTGTGTGTGTGTGTGTGTGTGTGTGTGTGTGTCTCATGGTCATACCTGGCTCTTTCTGAGCATTCTGGAGATGGCCTCTACTCCATAGTACCCCTGGTAGTCCTGTGTAGAATTACAACAGTTATTAATGTGTTGTGTTTTTACTTAAACATTCAGTCCTGATCCAACTCTGTGCCCACCCTAAAATCCACTCCTTGTTTTCCAGATGAACTCACCCTAACTGCAAGGCTAAACTGTCAGGATCTGAAGTGGATTTAGAAATCTGGACCGGACTACTACGCTGAGAGAAGAGCAGCATTAAATGTGCTTAATTCAAATTGTGTATTGCATGAATTAAACATATTACACCAACACAATTACTGTCTTTCAGTTTACATACTTTTATAACATAATTATTTTATAATAATTATGCTGCAATATAGTCAGTATAAGTACAGTTTGGACAGTGATTTTTTTTGTAATTTTGCCTCTGTACACCTCCATGACGGATTTGAAATGAAGTCCAGATGTGATTAAAGTTTAGGCTTTCAGCTTTAATTCAAGGGGTTTAACAAACATTTAGCATTAACCGTTTAGGAATTAGAGCCATTTTTCACACAGTCCCTCCTTTTTCACAGGCTCAAAAGTAATTGGACAAACTAACATGATTATAAATGCAAGGATTACTGTTAATACTTTTATGCAAAACCCTTTCAGTCAATGACTACCTGAAGTCTGGAACCCACCAACATCACCAAAACCCTCCCCTGAGTTGCTCGTCCAGACCTTTAACTGCAGTCGCCTTCAGTTGCTGCTTGTTTGTGGGTCTTTCTGCTTTCAGTTTTGTCCTCAGTAAGTGAAAAGCATGCTTAGTTGGGCTGAGGTTGGGTGACTGACTCGGCCATTTAAGAACATCGCATTTCTTTGCCTTAAGATGCTCTTCGGTTGATTTCGCAGTACGTTTTGGGTCATAATCCATCTGTACTGCAAAGTGCCGTCCTATCAGTTTTGCAGCATTTGACTGAATCTGAGCAGACAGTACAGCTCTGGACACTTCAGAATTCATCCTGCTACTTCTATTAGCAGTCACATCATCAATAAACACCAGTGACCCAGTTGCACTGGTAGCTATACATGCCCATGCCAAGACACTACCTCCACCATGCTTCACAGATGATGCGGTATGCTTCTTATCACGAGCTCTTCTTTTCCCATCATTCTGGTACAAGTTAATCTTGCGTTCATCTGTCTAAAGAATCTTGTTCCAGAATTGAGGCTTTTTTAGATGTTTTCTAGCAAACTCTATTCTGGCCTTTCTGTTCTTAAGTGTTACCAGTGGTTTGCATCTTGAAGTAAAGCCTTTGTATTTACATTCATGAAGGCGTCTCTTGATTGTAGACTTTGACAATGATACGTCAACCTCTTCTAGAATGTCCTAGACTTGACTAGGTATTGTAAAGAATTCTGTGATCATTCACTTTGTTTTCCGAGGTCTTCCAGGCCTTTTAGTGTTACAGAGCTCAACCCTGCATTCTGTCTTTTTAAGATTGTCGATCTGGGGGCTCCCGAGTGGCGCAACCGTCTAAGCGTTGGCTCTATCATCAGGAGATCGCGAGGTCGATCCCTGGTGATGCTACAGCCGTCCGTAGCCGGGAGTCCAAGAGAGCACAATTGGCCTCGCTCTCTCTGGGTGGGTAGGATGGCCCCTCCTTCTCCCCCCATCACACAGACATCTATTAGCTGATGTAACAGATCTGGCGGTTGGCGCTTTCCTCCGAGCGCGTTCGGCTGTCTGGTGATGTTGCGTGAGCGGCAGCTCGAAAAGAAGCGGTGGCTGGTTTCACAGGTCTCGGAGGAAGCCTGTGTTAGCCTTCACCCTTCCTAGCGTTGATAGCATCGTGTGATTGGGGGAGTCCTAACTAGCAGGTGGAATTGGAGACGACTAAATTGGGGAGAAAATCAGGTACAAATTTAGGTTGTTGATCTGGCAGTTCCCATGAACAGCTACCAAATGCATATTCAACACTTGCAATCAACTCCAGACTTTTTTATCTCCTTAATCTGTCATGAAATAAGCACAACTGGCCATGAAAATGCTTATCTAGTAATCTGTCCAACTTTTGAGCTGGTGAAAATGGAGAAACTATATAAAAAACAATGGCTGTAACTCTTAAACGGTTAATGCGATTTTTTATTTTTTAATGTTATACCCCTTGAATTAAAGCTGAAAGTCTACACTTCAATCACATCTTGCTTCAACTGCTTCATTTCAAATCCACTGTGGAGATATACAGAGGCAAACTGTCACTGTCCAAATACTTATGGACCTGACTGTATATTTCATTCATGCAGAAATGATATACATATAATTTAAGACAAGAAAATTCAATGCATTTCAGTGCACAGAGCTGCTTTCTCTCATTATGCATGTAAACTCACAATCCATAACCCCCTACTGAGAGATGCAGCATGTTTTCATAAACACACAATGTGTTAACGTCTGTCGAAGGTGAAATACACAGATTTCTTAAGAACGCTGCATGATTACATGCTTGAGGAGAAAGTCATTCAGAGTGGTTTGATGTGAAATGGTTCATTACAAAGAAACTTAGCAATGTAGCATCAACATTTTCAGTGGTGGCGAGAGAAATCAGGGGTCACGAGGGGGTCTACAAGGCAAATGTAACCATTTTATTTACTATCTAAAACCACCAGTGAACCTCCACACGTCTACCTACACATGAAAAAAAGTTTTCTTTGTGTCATTTTGCCCTATAATGCCCTGCATGTATCATTTCAGGCATCAGGCAGCAAATTCATAACCACTCTGTGTTATAACTGTCTCTGATGTAGATGCATCGAACTCTGCAGACGTCTGGTTCCTATCATCACCACTGCGAACAATGCTGGCTCTGCAAGTTTCACGAGAACAGAGCATTTCACACCAAACCATACTGCATGTGTGTTTTAGGCTGTC